AAAATTGGTAACTGGGTGCTGTGGTGCATGCCTTTAATCCCAGCAGCTCAGGAGGCTGAGGTAGGAGGATCATGAGTTCAAAGCCAGTCTCAGAAACTGCAAGGCACAAAGCAACTCAGTGAGATCCTGTCTTTAAATAAAATACAAAATAGGGCTGGGGATGTGGCTCAGTGGTTGAGTGCCCCTGAGTTCACTCCCCAGTACCTCTCCCCAAAAATTAAAAATAGAAATACTATATGATCCAGCAATCAAACTACTAGATATCTATCTAAAGAAAATAAAATTAATGTGTTGAAGAGACATCTGCATTCCTGTGTTCATTGCAACATGATTCACAGTAGCCAAGATGGCAAGATAAAGAAAATACGGTACACATATGTATGGAATACTAGTCAGTCATAAAAAGAATGGGATCTTGTCATTTGGGACAACATGGATGGAACTGGAGATTATTATGTTAAGTGAAATAAGCAAGGTACAGCAAGACAAGTACTGCATGATCTCACTCATATAGGAATCTAAAAAAGTTGATCTTATAGAGGTTGAAGGTAGAATGGTGGTTACCAGAGACTGGGGAACACATGTGAAGGGGAGAGAGAGAGATGGGGGGAGGTTGATCAGAGGTTGATCACACTAAGTTACAATTAGATAGGAGCAAGTTGTGGCCTGCTGTTGCACAGTAGGATGATTATAGATAACAATAATGTGCTGTACTTTTCTAAAAGCTAGAAGAAAGGATTTTGAAAGTTTTTGACATAAAGAAATGCTAAATATTTGAGGAGATATGTTTAACCTGATTTAGGCATTATACAATGTACGCATATATCAAATCATCACATTATCCCACTAATGTAATTTATTATTTTAAAACTTTTTTTAGTTGTAGATGAACACAATACTTTTATTTTATTTATTTATTTTTATGTGGTGCTGCTGACTGAACCCAGTGCCTCACACGTGCTAGGCAAGCATTCTACCACTGAGCTATAGCCCCAGTCCAATACACATGAATTTTATGTTCTTATTTGCCAGCTAAAATGAATTTAAATATTAAAAATTTAAAAGAAATTCATTAGGCAAATTCAGTAGCATTACCATATATCCTAAAATAAATTTTTATCTGTTGCAGGAGGGATCGAGAATCCAAGTTCTAGAATCAAATGGACCTGATTCAAGCCCCATTTTTTTTGGAGTACTGGGGATTGAACTCAGGGCTACTCGACCACTGAGCCACATCTCCAGCCATATTTTGTATTTTATTTAGAGACAGGGTCTCACTGAGTTGCTTAGAACCTTGCTTTTGCTGAGGCTGGCTTTGAACTCTCAGCCTCCTGAGCTGTTGGGATTACAGGCATGCACCACTGCACCCAACTGAAGTCCCATCTTTGTTACTTGATCTCTGCTCTGGCTTTAGTTGCTTAACTTTTCAAAATTTCAGTTTCTTTATCTCTAAAATGAATTTCATAATATAAAGCTTATAGAATTTTTGTGGGATCCAAAGGAGATAATGCATTACTATGGACTTGTGTTCTCCCAAATTCATATGTTTAAATTCTTATGCCAATTTGCCTGTATTTTGAGTTAGGAAATCTAGGAGGTAATAAAGATTAAATGAGTCTATAAGGATAGGATATAAGAAGAGGGAAACACACACACTAAGAGGTCAAACGAGCACACTGCAAGAAAGTGACTGCCTACAAGCCAAGAAAGTGTCCTCAGAATGAAACTTACCTTGCTGGCACCTTGATGGTAGACTTTCCAGCCTCTACAACTATAAGAAAGAAATTGTTTAAGCTACCTAGTCTATGGTATTTTGTTATGGCATCCAAGTTTACTACCACAGATGTTGGTACTGTGGAATAAGGTGCTGCTGTAACATATACCTAAAAATGTGGAAGTGGCTTTGGAACTAGTTAATGGGTAGAGGCTGGAAGAATTTTTGGGTGCATGCTAGAAAAGCCTATTACCATGTATAGATTTTTGGTAGAACTAAAGTTCATTCTGATGAGGTCTTAAATAGAATTGAAGAACATATCATTGGAAACTGGAAGAATGATAGTCTTTGTTATAAACTGGAAAGAACGTGACTGAACTGTGTTCTGGTTTTTTGTGGAAAATAAAATTGTGAGAAAAGAAATTGGATATTTAGTTGAGGCCTCCCTCTCTCTCTCCTTTCCTTCCTTTCTTCCCTTCTTTCATGCTGGGAAACAAACCCAAGGCTCATATATGCTAGGCAAGAGCTCTACCACTGAACTACACCCCCAACTCCCTGAACTGAGATTCCTAACGAAAGTTTTTAAGGGGTGACTTGGTTCCTTCAGCTTGCCAAAGAAGAGAGATGAGTTGAGGAAGAAATTGTTAACCAAAAATTAAATACTTAGGGACCTCTGGGGAGTGAAGCCAGGGGCCCATAACCACTGGACCACATCTCTAGCCCTTTTTAATTTTTGAGATAGGGTTTCACTAACTTGCTGAGGCTGACCTCAAACTTAAGATCCTCCTGCCTCAGCCTCCCAAGTACCTGGGATTACAAGTGTGCACCACTGTGCCCAGCTTCTCAGCTTATATTGCAAAAATGGAGGAAAATTGTTCTAAAGAGAATATCAAGGGTGTGACTGCACTCTCTCCTTAAGGAGATTACCCATGACGTTAACTATATATCTCAGCAGAATCCATGAATAAGTTTGAACCGAGTAACAGAGACACTGACAGTTTGTAGCAAAGGGAACAAGACAGCAGGGTAGATTTATTTGGCTTCAAACATGCTTTATCCTGCATGAAAAGGAAAGGATGACATGAAGGCAATTCAGAAGTCACCAGGGCTGTCATTCCCACCACAAACCCAGAGTGCACAGGCCTAAGGGTCAAGGTTGTTGTGCCAAAGGGCAGTACTGAGGACAAAACAGCTGTATGGACAGGGCTAACTCTCCAGCAAAAGAGGGCAGGGGCTCCTCCACAGAGATGTGATGGTGAGTCTGCTATCCCTGGGGGCCTGAAGGGCAGAGTGTTGAACTAAAGATTATTCAGTAACCTTAATTTCTAATGGAAATTGTGTTGCTATATTTTGGACTTGCTTGATACCTGTTACCCTTGATTCCAATTTCCATCTATTGGAATGGAAATATCTATCCTACCATTGTATTTTGGAAACATGTAACTTGTCTGGTTTCATAGAAGAGAAATTTTGCATTGAGGTGAATGGTACCTTGAATCTCATCCATATATGATTAGATGATATTTAGATGAGACTTTGGGTTGCAGACTTTAGAGTTGATGCTGGAATGCATTAAGGCTTTTCAGGTTTTGGGGATGGAATGAATGTATTTTTCATGTATTTTTGAGGGGCTAGGGATGAAATTCTATGGACTGATTGTGTGTCCCTAAAATATGTTTCAATCAGTTCCCCTCAATGTGACTGTAGTTGGAGATAGGCTCTCTAGAATGTAATTAGGTTAAATGTAGTCATAAGAGTAGGGCCCTAGTCTGATAGGATTGGTGGCCTTGCAATAAGAGGAAGAGAAAGACATCTTACTCTCTTTCCCTGTACTCATGCACTAAGGAAAGACCATGTGAGCACACAGGCAGAAGTCAACTATCAACAAGTCAAGAAACAAGACCTCAGAATGAAAACCTTTCTTGGTGGTAACTTGATCCTGGACTTCTAACCTCCAAAACTATGAGAAATACATTTACATTGCTTATGCAATCCAGTCTATGGTATTTTATGGTAGCTGAGGAGACTAATGCAACATGTAAAAATCTTGGCATATAGTAGAAATCGATTATACAGATATGCAAAATGCATGTAAACTAAATAATGGAAGAGACTGTTTACCGTGTTTCAAATGACAAGCTTTTTAAAGTACATTAGCAGCATTCCTTTTTTCTCATTGACAAATTTTTATTTTATTTGAATCAAAATAATTGTCCATATTTATGGGATACAGTGAGATTTTAGTATATGTATACAATACGTGTAATGATCAGATCAGGGTAACTGGCACATCCATCACCTCATACATTTTTCATTTCTTATGTTGAGAACATTTGAAACCATCTCTACTAGCTATTTTGAAATATACAATTATAGTCATTTTCAACCATGGTTATCCTGCCATGCTATAGAATGTTAGAATTAATTCTTTCTATCCAATGGCACCCTTGTACTAATTATCTATCTTCTTCACCTCTTTCCCTCCTCCACACCCTTCCCAGTGTCTGGTAACCACTATTCTATTCTGTACTTCTTTGAAATCAACTTTTTTTTTGCTTCCACATATAAGTGAGAATGTGTGATGTTTGTCATTCTGTGCCTCACTTATTTCAGTTAATGTAATGTCCTCCAGTTCTATCCATTTGGTGCAAACAACAGTTTCATTCTTTGTTAAGGCTGAATAATATTCCACAGTATAGGATTCTCTTAAAATTCCAATTACTATTACTACTATATTATAATATCTTATGGAGTAATAAAGTAATATTGTTACTCTATATTAGAAATAATCGCAATATCATAAGAAGGGTTATATTCTTACATAATTATATACTTATTATATGATGGTAATATCATAATTAAGAATATCAATATTACTATTAACTTAAGTGGGCCTCGGGGTCCTTATCCTAGTGAAAATTTTTCACCTTATGGCCCTTTGTGTAAAAATAATAAGCCTATCACTTGTTAGAACTATTTAATAATTCATTATTTTTATCAATGACAATAGGTGCCTAGTATATTTCCATCTAAGCAGTCTTTCCACTAGAAAAATCCTTAGAACGTGAATTCCCACTTTTAAAAAACATGAAAAGATAAGGAGGGCTCTCTGTGAGCTGCACCTAGGCAGATAAAAAGACTCGCTGGCCTTTGCTTCCTACAAATGCAATCGCACCATACTTGTGCATCCTAGTATAAATAACATTTATATGTAACAGTAAACTCAAATTTAGAACATCCATTGCTCTTTTGGAATTTTTAGTAATGGAAATTTATTCTTTCACAGGTATCAAGGTTACATTTATACATACCGAGTGTCCCAGACAGAAACAGGTTCTTGGAGTGCTGAGGTATAGCTCTTTTATTTATTTTTGCTTCTGTGGGTATCAGGGAGGTGTTTGATATTTAGGTTGGCTTTATAAATGAGAAGTCACATTAAACATTATCAAAGTATTCATCAAATTTAAATCACTAAAGCTCCTATCAAAAAATTTTCATGGCTTATTGAGTAATCTTTAGAGAATTTTGGTCCCTGTTCAGCCACCATTGTGTGGAGTTGTCTCACTTTGGAGAAAGATAAAAAAGTTGAAAGATTATGTCAAACTTTTTGTGCATAAATGAAGTTTCAGAAAGCCTATAAAATCCAATAAAATAGCTGGACGCAGTAGGGCACGCCTGTAATCCCAGCAATTCAGTAGGCTGAGACTGGAGGATCTCAAGTTCAAAGTCAGCCTACGCAACCTAGCCCTGTCTCAAAATTAAAAATTGAAAAATAAATAAATCAAATGACTAGGGATGCAGTTCTGTGGGTAAGTGCCACTGGGTTCAATCCCTGGTACACAAAAAGTGGGGGAGGATAATTAAATCAGATATATTTTCTAAATGGCCCCAATAGAAGTTTGGTGCTGTTGGGAATTTAAAAAAAAAACAAACATAATTACTGTTTTCTAGGAGTTTATAAAATCCTTCAGAGACATAACATGAAATTAAACAGTAGTGGGCTTCATTGTCAAGTGCATCCAGGTTTCAGGTCTGGTCCCCGTTCTTCCCCAATAGACCTGAGACTTTGGATAGGTTACTTCACTGTTATGTGAACCAGTTTCTTCATTTGTAAAATGAGTCTGAAAATAGTTCTTTACTCATAGGGCTCATTTCGAGGACTAATTGAGATAATGCATGAAAAGAATCTTTTAGTCATAGGGCCTGGCACCTAGTAAAAATGTGAACTCTTGAAAATTGTTGAACAAAGTGATTGTATATAGTCCAGTGCTGTGTTATCTAGAACAGGAGTTCAAAGAACAGAGAATTTCCAAGTATTAGGGTGGTCAATGCTGCTGTGTATGAGGAGGCAGCAGGCCCAGCTGAGCCATGATTGGAAGCCTATGGAGAGTTGGAATAGAGGAGAGGAAACATTGCTGTGTTTTTATGATATGCTCTGCAAAATCCTAGTGTTCTTCTGTCTGGAACACTGGGGCTTCCTGCAGCAGGTGGGGGGTGGTGCAGGAGAGGAGGTAAGTGGGTATATTTCTCAGTATCTACACCTTGGCTACAATCTGAGCAGTTCCCTTTTTATTTTACTTATTTAGTTCTTTACAACAAAGGGTTCTTGTGATTTTGAAAATGTTTGAAACTCACTGTACCATTCTAAGAAAGGCCTATAGAGTGAAATCCATTTCCATGGACTAGAGTTGTATGGTATATCACTTCTTATCAATCATTGAGGCCTCTACTGAAACTTTCAACTACATATGCTTTCTATGGGTTCTCCTTATAGCTGTCCATCTTTATAATGAAAATATAAATGCAGCTTATACATAACTTATATATAATAAAATATAATGAAAATTTATTATGAAATTTTGGAAATCTAAATGCTAATATCAACATTTATTAAAAACTTAGTTTATGCATTTGGGAAACTCTAAAGTATACATTTAAAAAATTAAAAGCTTGAAGCTTTACAAATTCATCAGTAAACTTGAAAGTACTAATTACAGAGTACAAACATTTTGAACTAAGTTGTATTAGGGCAAGTTTTCAAACACATTATTACTTTATACCAGGATAATTAATACTATAATACTAACTAAAGGAAAAGCAATATCATTTCTAATCAAAACTGTTCCTGCTTATTTTTAAAATACTCTGTATCACTGAAGAGATATTAAATAATAAATTAAACTTCATTTATCATGAAGGATAGTTACAAATATGTGTGTGTGTGTGTGTGTGACCAGAAATAGTTCTTGTCTCTAGGGAAGTATCCTTTGTTGCTGAAAAATATTTTCTATGAATGGGATCTCAGATTCTTAGAGTTTAACAACCTTGTTTTTAAACGTGTTTTCCTCCATTTCAAACATAGCATCATATGCAGATTGTTACACCCTTGTGACCAAGTTAAAGAGAGGGCTTATTGAACATAAATGCCCCCTCTTCCTTCTGTTTAATCTGACGCTATTTATATATTGATACTGCAATTATCTGCACCAAGAGAGCAGAAGATTGGCATGGATTATCCCCCAATACAAAACAGTTCAAAAATTGTTTAATTTTTGAAATACATATTGCATTTTTTTTCTGTCTGCTGAATTTGCCTTCTTATTTATGTTTTTCTAAGGTGAATATTAAACTAGTATGTATTCTTGGATCTTATATCACCTGACTAGAAAAATTTTCTAGAGCATATTGAAGACCAGCTGTGATCCAAAACATGTTTCCATGGATAGCTAAGAGGTGACAGTATGGGAAATGTACAGATTTGAATAACAGCTGAGTTCAGTGACAGGATGAGAGTTGTCAGTGGTACTATTCTTGTGGTAAATGTATTTTCAAAATTGGGTAAATGATAGATATTTATACTGCTTTTTGGAATAACATTTTAGTTTGCCACACTGCAAGAAAAAATCATGGCAGTAATACTCCATCTTTTGTGAAAAGATTATACTAGAAATCTAGGCAAGTCTGAGATTTGTTTTAAGGAGTGGGATGAAATTGAACCTTGGATCCAATTAATTACAAAAGACAAATATTATGTGTATTTTTCATTTTAAGTAGACCTTTAGTCTAAGCTATTAACTTAGCTCCTGTGATTCAGGGTAAAATTTTGCTGAATTATTAATTTAGAAAATTCTACATATAGTTAACTATCATTTCTTAAAATGTGAATTGTCAGCAGTACATTTGTAAAGAATGTACTGACCTCTCCCTGCCAACTTTAGTGCCTTTGTGCTTTTCTGGGTCTTTTTGATCACAAGATCAGTAGATATAAATAATTTTACTTATTCATGTAAACAAAACACTATAAATTAGGTCAATCATGTGCTAAGGAAATATTACATTCCAAATTGAAATTATTTTTACACATCCAGTGCTGTCATTCTTCTCTGTCAGCATGGATAATCAGTACCCAGAAAAATGATGCTTCTGTTGATAAATGGTTTTATGAGCCACAGGAATGTTAAAAAGATGTGTGGTTTGAAGTCTTTCCACAGAGCAGAGGGTATAGTTTCTCCTCTTGGTGGTGACCCTGACTTTATTAGAACCATGCTGTTTTGGATGAAGTCTCAATAGAGTCTTAGGAAGGTGTCTGGAACACAGAGACTGAGATGGGTGGGAGACTGTTCTACATCACTAGAAGCATATGAATGGCCATTAATTGAGAGCTAAAAGAACTTTTGCAGTGTTTTCGATGGAAAATTACTTACCCCAATGTAGAAAATGACCAAGAGTTAGCATGGACAGTCTAGTTATTTCTAGCATATTGTCTATTTGATAGAAGTCTGCATGCCAATCTTCATGTTTTCTCATTAAATGTTACAAAACAAGCAGCTTCCACCTCAAAAATTTTCCATATAGAATAGCTGAAAAGTAACTTTCTAAAAGAAAAAAAAAACTAGTCATTGTTCAATTGCTCAAGCAATACTAATTTATTTTATGTAAAATGACAGTTTTGAGCTGATGCCTAAAGCTTGGCTCATAAACTTCTGCGGGAAATTGTTATTGAATTCAGGCAGTGTCTTTGCAAGGGAACTGATGTTAGGGAAGCAAAACACTTTAATAGTCACCTGCAAATAATGATCTCCTTAAAAACAAATAAATAAAGGTGGACCTTATATAGCTTTTCTTTTTCATGTCACAGGGAAAATCTTGTCACAATGCAATGCTGATGGTGAGAGCAATTTGGAGGAGAATAGGGAAATTTCCCAAAGAAGAAAAAATTTAATGTGAGGGATGAAGCAGGACACAGAAGGTGAAAGAGATGAGGACTAGCTAGCCATGCATTGTGTATATCCTAACAGTCAATTTTTAATTTCCTGTGTAGTATTTTGTATTGTGAAATGATGTCAGGGAGGAGGGATTGTTGGTTGTTTTTGGGTTCCTCAGTCTTTTTATTAATGACCTGTAGGATCTGTGCTTTTTCTATGTTTAACTGCATTCCTCTGTTGCTAAATTCATTGTGGGTAATGGCCTGTATACCCTTAGAGGTTCAGGATGTATGATGGGTAGCAGGCAGGAAGGGCAGGGCAATGAACAAGAGCTTGTACAAACTAATACCACCCTTGAGAGAACTGAAATGACAGCTCATTAGCTCTTCTTGCAGGGAAATTCAGCCAACCAAAGTAAGCTCTTCTGGGATGTTGTTTTTTTCTTCCTTATGTTTTCAAATATTTGAAGAAGTTATACAAATGTTACTTCTCTAAGCATCCCTCCCACATTTTGTAGGCCTTTTTTTGTAGTATTATGAGGTAGGTAAATAATTTGCTTGGCCTTTTATTTTCCAGACAGCACCTGGGGTACATAAAAGATTTTTCCGGAAAATAAAAAATCTTATTTCAGCATTTCAGAAGCCAGATCAAGGCATCGTAATACCTCTGCAGTATCCAGTTGAGAAGTCCTCTGCTAGAAGCACACAAGGTACTACAGGTATGGTTCGGTGTTGATTTTTGACAGGGTTTGGAAGCTGAGTGTTAAGGAATCAGCCTATTCATAAGCATATAATCAATTGCAAGTTCTGTAAGAAAAATATAATGAATAGATACAGCCAGCAAATCAAGAAAGAGAGGTGACTATTTATGTGCCATAATTTCAGTCTGCTACACTATAAGCTTGTCATAAAACTGCAAAAATATAAAAAATTCCACAAAGTTACAACTTCTTTATATTTTATTTTTTTGCAGTACTGGGGATTGAACCTAGGGCCTTGTACATACCAGGCAAGCACTTGACCACTGCACTATATTCCCAGCCCTGAGGTGATATGACATTTTAATCTCCTTTGTCCCATCTTGTGCTTTCAGTCTTTTTAAAATATAGATATACACTTGATCTAAGCCAAAAGACTGAGAAGCAGTTCCCTTTTGTAGCTATATAAGTACCATTTCACTTTGCTAATCCAGACATAAATGATTGAAAGATAGGATAATTCAGAGAACTCCTGGGCTGTCCTTTACCTTTGCCCGGTAAACTAGTTTTTTTGTTTAGGAATATAAAGGCTAATGTTAGCCTAGTCCACGTGATTTTGATTTCTGAATTGGTGGTACTTGAATGAATTATATTTTACTACCGCAAATGAAATTCAATTGCTAAACGTTTTTGTTCCACTGCCACAAATTGGCTAATTGTTCTTTTCTGCCCAATATGCCAGGCTTTATAACTTAGTTTTAAGTAATAGTTGCTTGAAGTCTATCAATGCACTGCATCATTGTGAATTTCAGGCTGTTGGAAATTTTACAGCTTAACCTGTAATCGTAATCCTTTGTAAGTTGGTCTTTTCTTGATTTTTGTTATTCTTTTTCATTAGGGAGAAGAGATTCTGATGTCTGCCTGAAAGCACCATGAAGAAAAATAATACACCTTGTACTTTATTTTCAGTAATTTAAATATATACTAAGTCTTGTATATTGTAGATAATATAGTTCAGTGAGCTATAAATGCATTTCTAACATCATCATAGTCCTGTACTGGAAGTATGTAGTCTGATGTTAAAGTTGAAATGGATATTGTAGATAATGAGAAGTTTTGAAATGAGGATTGAGAAAAAAAATAATTCCTTAGGTTATTTTTAGTAATTATATTTACGAATAGGAGACAATTTAAAGCATAATGAATACTTTATAGATTAATGTCAGTTCTTGCCAAGTATAAATAAAAATAATCCTCTTTTTTTAATAAAAAGGCACCATTTTTAGTGAAATGTTATTTGATAGTTACCTATTTTTAAATTCTTGCTTGATTGTATGGTGGAAAGGTGGTTGGTGTTCCTTGTCTTTGTCACATGCAGTTCTTCACTCACTATGGTGTCATAGACTCTTTTGGGAGTTATGAAGAAGTGTGCTAAAATAAGTACTAAAGAGTAAAGAATTTTGTTTAAATCTCAAAGAAACCTTCTTGCCATGTTCTGATGTTGGGTAGTAAATTTCACAGACCATTCTGGAATTTAAAATCTTATGCCTTACATGTTTATTGTATTTGATGCTCTAGGTTTTGAAATTATATTTGAAATCTGATGAACCATATTTTTATTTTCATTTTTTTCTGTCTCTCTACTACACATAAAGACTCATTTGAAGGAACTCTTCAGTAGCTGTGGCTCATGATTGATTTGTGAGCAGTCTCCCTATTAGGTAACCCTTACAAACCATCGGAAAGCTTATGACATGTTAATTTTTAACAATTCTGAGTGATTGAAACCTGAGTGAGAGTCAAACTTGTATGCAGTATTTTCTTCTCACATTTATCTATTCAATATTTTTGTGATTGATTATATGCCGTGTTGCTTCAGGGCTCCCAGAATTCACTCACTTAACAAACATAATAGTGCACTGGGGGTAGAGTAGTAAAAAGATTTGTTCCCTACCTTCACAAAGTTCACTGGATAAGAAGACAATATAATAAAAGACAATAAAGGAAACTAAAAATGACAAGAAAACAACCACAATAAAAGTCCATACATACTTAAGTGAGGTTCTCAGTGTGTAGGTAGACCTGTCTTTAGAGTTAGAATGAATCACCACAAATACTTTGGTCTACAGTCCATAGGAAAAGGCTGTTTTATTGTAAACTAATATATTGGAATTCTGGGTTATGCATGAATATTATGAGCTTGGTTAATAATTAATGAACTGCTTAGAGAGCTACTCTCTGTGTGCTGGTTAGATCTGAGCATTTAACATGAAAGCTATGAGAATGCAAAGGTGGAGTATGGCCATAGGAATGCATGGTGGCAGTTCATCATTTCTTGAAGAGCCTTGCTTTAGCTTGTAAAGGAATTCAGAAAGCCTACTTTTAAAATAAAATTTATATGATTAAATAAACTTTAAATATTTGTAGCTTGCATTTAAATATTTAATACATGTAACCATTTTTTTTACTTTTTCTAACTTGTTAATTCTGGAATAATTTTAAATATATGAATGATGTTTACTTTTATGAGGGTCTATTTTAGAAAAAGTTTTCTGGAATTATTAGTTTTTTTTTACATTCTAATGTAAAATCAAAAGTATTCAAATGCTTTATTTACCTAATTTGTCTTAAAATATTCCCTTAAAAATATTCAGAGACAGATGCTAATTAATAAACTAAATAAAGCACTCATGTAAGCTACCTTACTTATCTTACTGGACTGATTCCCTGGAAAAGATAAAACCTTTTTTACTGTTGTCAAACTTTTCAGTTGATGAGCCTATCCTATCTTCTTTGCTTGATCTTTTATTCATCAAGTTTTTTTTTTTTTTTACTTTTTCATTACCAACATGAGCATCATTATTATTTCTCAGTATGTAATAGGTTGCACCTATACAGAAAGGTCATATTCTTGCTGTATCTAAAATATCGCCATGTTAACATGAACTGGTAAGGTGCTAAGTCGAGGTAGAAAAATGCAGATCTAGTTCCAAGCATACACCTCTCTTTAGAAAAAAAAAAGTGTCAGCAAGCCCACAAGGAACATGACAGCTTATCAAATACTAGTTTATTTCCTTTGAAATTTGTTCTTAAGAGATAAGGTCAGCTGGGAGACAAGCTTAGGTAATTGTTTGTTACAGGCAGGGAAACTTGTGGCAGTGCATAGGTAGAAGAAGTCTACAGAGAATATCTCTGATCAAGTCCTCTGGTATAAATAAAGTGCTGGATTTAAGGTATTCTTTGTGGTAGAATGGATAGAAAATTTTAAAATGTGAGAAGTGTTTTCAAATCTATTAAGAATATTTTGACATCAGCTCATGTTTTATTTGATTTACTTTATTGAGCTCAGAATCTAAAGTCTATTGATAATAAAACGCAGATTTGCCCTTGAGCATTTCAAGGTTGCAGGATGCCTAGTTTTCCTGTGATGGTATCATAAATTCAACTTTCCCATCTGTGTTTGCCCTTACAGTAAATGGGATACCATTGTTTTACTGTTTGCAGCTAAGAATGAAGTTAAATTATCTACTTTGAACTTTTTTATAATTTGGGATCACTGGTTAAACTTGTAGTTAAAAGGTTGAATTCTTATCATTGGGTTATTTGGTTTGTTTTTTAGCCTTTTTTGGTATTTCATTAGAGATAGGGTTTCAATGAGTTGCTTAGTGCTTCCTTGTTAATTGCTGAGGCTGGTTTTGAACTTGCTATCCTCTTGCCTTAATCTCCCAAGCCTCTGTGATTATGGGCATGTCCCTTCATACTCAGCAGGGGTTTTTTTGTTTCTTAAATGAAGATATTCTTAATGTATGAATATAAAACAAACGTGACAAACTGGATAGAGCATATTAACATACACACACATCCGTCCATACACATATGTATCTTGACTACATGCCCCACTATGCACAAAAAAGAAATTGTTCTCACAAGATGACAGAAGGTGATGCCACACTCAGTATTGGACAGAGAGCGAAAGCAGTAATACATAAGACCTGAATTTTTCTTTCACTTCAGTTACGGAAAACCTATGTGAACTTAGGTAAGAGTTTGTGACTGTTACTGCATTTGCTGTGGGAATAATTAAATCCTACTTACCTCATAAAATTATTGAGGTACTAGAATTATATAACTTCAAGGTAGTAACATTGCAAAATGTTTGATTACATTGATATTCAAAGATCTCTAAAAGTAAGGTGAACAGGGAAGAAAAAAAAAAGGAGAAAGCCCATATTTCCTTTAATAATTCTGCCAATGTAGAAGTTCCTGCCTTTTTATTATTTATTGTTATATTTTTGGTACCAAAGATTGAACCCAGGGATGCTTAAACACTGCACCACATTTCTAGCCCTTCTCTTTTAAATTTTGAGACAGGGCTTCACTAAGTTGCAGAGACTGGCTTTGAACTTGAAATCCTCCTGACTCATCTTGCCAAGCCGCTGAGATTAAAGGCATGTGCCACTATGCCTGTCTTCTTCTTCTTCTTCTTTTTTTAAATACTCAAGAGTTTGGTATGTTGTATGTGTTGAAGAAAATCCCCAGGTGATGCTAATGTCAACCCCCTTTTTGTTGATAGGCTGTGAATCTTTTCACTCTGTGTATATGTGTGTGTTCCATGCTAACATGAACCGGTACATATACATAGATATATACACTTATACATACATACATACATACACATATACATGTATATATACATGTATATATACATAAGTATGTTTATACATGTGTATTACATATATATATAAACAGGGCATTTTGAAGTGGTGTACATTTCAGCAAGGGATAGTTGGACTCTCTTTGCCCCTGTAGTGTCAAGTTGAATTTTTTCTTTTGGCCAGTTTCCCCAGTGTCACTTGGAAATATCTTCTTGTGAAAAACAAGCAACAAATGGCAATTATAGTTGTTTATGGCCTAGTGCCTTGGAAGAGCTGTTGTGGTTTTTAGTCTATTATGAGTGAACCCCCCTTTATGTCAAACATCTGTTTTTTGTCAAATGCATTTGGGCATCCTGGTCTTCTAACTATCCTTCCCCAGCTTTTTCTACTATTTTTAATTTTCTTTCTATCACTGAGAAAAGCATCAAAGGGATAAAGTAAAACCTTTGAAAAAGTCGTAGCCTAGAGGCATTTAAATTCACAGCAGCTACTCTTCTTTGTTTATTAAGTGGTCATTTGTGTCAGAGATCCTATTTGTATGAATAATAAAAATGAAGAGACACCTGGCTAGGATTAGTGCCTTTTTGATTTCTGCACCTACATTTTCGAGATGATGTGGTTTTTATTATTCCCCATCAGGGAGTTACTTTTCCTATCTCAGGTGACCAGACTGACTTGAGAATGCAGTTTGGCGCATGAATAAACTGGGACACGGTGTTCGTTTGCAATTTTATTTTTTAAAAATGAAATATTCAAAGTACTTTTCTTTCAAATATCGACACATAATGTTTAACTTTAAATATTTACAGCATGTTGTTGTGATGCTCTTGTAGAAAAATGCATGCTTCTGGCCTGAAAGCCAGAGCAAAATGCAAAAAGACCATTTAACTGCAGCCAGAGAACATGAACCGTACAGTATCCAGTCACTTTTCAGCACAGGAGTGAGAGCAGGAATACAAAATTGGAACCTATTGTTTCCTAGCAACATGGCTCAGGCCATTATAACACAATTTTCAGTATGATTAGAACCTCTAACTGTTGTTATATAGAAACTGAAAATCTTGGCATACACTGTAAACATCTTTACTTTTCATGAGAAAGTAAGCAGCTAAAAAGAATATTTTTCTGACGTAAAGGCTATACTTCTCTTTTTCACCTTCTCTCTTACTGATGCTTTTGCCAGAAGAATAGTAAAGATTTAGACATTGTCATGATTCATACAAGTAAAATATTTTTCAAGGACACAATCTGATATACTAACATGTATTTAAGAGGTTAAAGTCCACCACTAAATCTAAGGAAAGATTTTTAACTGCCAAACACACTTCCTTTGACAAATAATGTAAGGTGACAACTGCCAAGACAACATCCACAGCAAGTTTAACTAAGTATTTTCAGTTACCGTTTAGGAAGTAATTTCTTCTTACACATAGTTATATATTTGGTCCTCAATAGCTTTCACATGAAGGACACACTGAAATAATAGTCACTATTTTGTGTTGATTTTTTTTTGTTCTTGTTTTCTGTTTTTTTTTTTGTTTTGTTTTGTTTTGCTTTTTCGTGTTTTGCTTTTTTTTGTTTGTTTGTTTTGTTTTTGTTTTCTTTGCAGAATAAATAACCATACAGAAGGCTGTGGAAGAGCAGTCTGGGAACTGAAGCACTAGTCAGGTCAGCTATGTGTATGTGACTTCCTCCAAGAAAGCAAGAATGTTGCATCTAATCTGTAGCCTTATGTTTCCCCAAAACCTAGAATATGTTTCAATCTCTCTGAAATTTTCTTTTAATATTTGACTACTGTACTTTTGCTTCCATTACCCCCGAACTTTATTAAATTGCCTTTAGCATGAACATATCTTTATAAATGCAACAACTTTGCCCTGACTCTCTCAGGTGATATTACAATGGGGCCTGGTATGGTTAAAAATATAGCTTGAAGAAAGAAAGGAAGAAAGAGAGAAAGAAGAAAAACATGATGGAATGTCAGAAATTGTGTCAACAGTGATTAATAAGAAGTCTTAATTTTATACCTCTCTATGGAGGTAGTACATGAATTCCAAATTATACATTGTCAAGTTTTCATACATTTGGGTATGTTGTATATATATTATATTATATGTGTGTACTCTATATATTATAGATCTTTTAGATAAATTGACAATACATGATGTGTTTATTTTATACATTATTTTGTTAGGTTAAAAATAAAACATACTTATTTCTATGGTATGTGTTTTGTTGAAAGTTAGTATGAACTGAGCTTTATTTCCCTTTCCTTTGGGAGTCACGCTTCTAATCAATAATGATTAGAATGATAACAAAAATAAACATACTTAAAGATCTCTTAAACTGAACTTTTCAGCTCATTTGGATCTCTAGACTTTAGTGCAAGAGTCAAAACAAAACAAAAAACACAAATAAAATGGCCCTAATTTAGAAAAAGAAACAAGCATAGAGTATTCCCTGCCTCCAGCCCAGAATGTTCTTCACAGGAGAGTCCAACTACTGTACTCTCACTTTAACTTACGTGAATGATATGTGGCCATGCAGTGTCAGCCACCTGTCTTCTGGGTGTGAGAAATTCATATATTTCTCTTAACAGTGCTTTAACTTTTATCAGGAAATGCAACTGAGTTATTCTTTCATTAATTTAAACTTCAGAAGTACAAGTCAATGAAGGCATTTTTTCTATTCAGTTGAATAGGAAGCAGTGTACTCAATATCTCCATGTTCTTATTGAGAAATGCCAAAATGTTTCTCTTAGATTTACTACTCATTAGTGCTAACCTTTTGGTTTTTTTCTTCTTTTCTCCCCAAAACTTTAGGAGTTGTAAAGAGAACAATAATAGTTCAAGGCAGTATTAAAACCACAGCAGTAAGTGATAAAAAGTGCATTTCCTGAATATAATACAAATACAACATTAAGAAACTAAAGGCACAAACTAACTAAATATGTATTACAAACTAGAAATGCACAGTTCAAGGTAATTACTATTAAGTAAAATCTTCAAATATTTGTTTCTAATGAATATTTAAAGGAGTTTGAAAATGATACATCATCAGTGAATTGCAAAAACGTATAATCATCACTTAAAATATAAGCAAAATAGACTCTAATATTGACATCTTGGATTAGTGATAAAATACATCATCACATTTAAGAATGCACTCTTTATATACAGTTCACAAATTATTTTTCCATTGATTTAAAATAACATCAGAGGTTCTAGGAACTTAAAGTTTATTTTTAGGTTGGTGTGGAGGTATTCAAATTTTCTACAAGTGTGTGAGTCATTTTAGAATTCTATCCTGAAAAAATATTGCACCAATAATACAAGCCTGATTCAGGAAAAACCCAATAATATGATTTTAGTCTGGATTAACAATATCTTGAGTTGGTGTGCTTCCAGTTGCAAAGAGATGAGTTCATCATGAATTTTCTGTCTCTCTCTGTCTCAATACATGTGTAAGAATGTGGTAATTTCAACTTGAAGGCTTTGAAAATGAAATATTTGAATATACCCTCCCCTATTGTCTGCTGGGGTCTTTCCTCTCCTTTTTGATCTCCTTTGTGCAATAAGAGGCAGACTCTTTAAAAACCTTAACATGAGCTGAGATTCTGACTTTGCATATTTTTAAAGAAAAGCAAAGCAAGGCAATGACCCCAAACTGCATTTAGATAGTAGCTGGAAAGAATCCAAACAAACATTCCATCATAAATTCTCCTTCAGACATAACAAATGTTCAGGCTTGGTGATAAAAGTGCAGAAGCTGGCTCAGGAAATTTTGTATAGGCCACACTGCGCTGTCATGTATTTTCATTTGTGGTAACTTACAATCACACAGCATTTTACAAACTGTCTTTTTGTCACTGGGCACAAATCTCCCAGCTCACCAAGAGGCTTCTTTTACTGCAGGGTTCATAGAGATTGAGAAACTGCAGCTGCTATTAACACTAATCCTGACCTTTCTCCAAATTTTAATGATCATGGAACAAAAAACCCATCCTAGAAAATAGTTATTTTCTTAGGCAGAAGAGAAGATTAAATCAAAATAAATAGGTAAAGACAGAGAACTAAAATAACCATGTAAATTTTATTAGTAAAAACTAGTCTGCCTCTCTATAATTAGTTAAAAATGTTTTAGGTTGGAAAAGGTTCACTTAATTCAATTTTCTGAATATGTCTGGGAGAGGTTCAATACAGAATTGTACATTTGAAAGATAAATCTAAGTGAGATGAAACAATGTGGCATGAACTACTGTGATGTTTCTTTTGTCCTCCCTTTGGTACTTCCCTTTGACTTTAGTACTAGGTCTATTTTTTAAGGTTTTGGCTCTTTTGAATCTCTGCACTAGTAGTTAATGTATTGTTAATGTATTTATGGGCATCCCAGGCACATATGCCTGCTAAAGCCTCGTTATTTTTGTATCAGAATCATACTTTTTAGTAAATTACCTTTCATGTGCACAAAACCATTGGATTAGTGTATAAATACTGAGTCACTAATGTGAAACTATGACCAAAACACACCCTATATATAAATGAGATTCCTACCCAGGTTAATAAAAGCTATGTTCACATGACACCAATACAGCTGGACAATTTGGTAGAAAATGGAGTCAAAACAGGTTATGTGAGAGAAGTCACATTGGCCAGCTGCTTTGGTATCATGTTCACACAAGCAATAGTGGCTATTCAGTCTGTTTACCCCATCCACAGGGAGGCATGGTAGACAGATGCAGCCACCACACGCCAAAACACAGCACAACAACATGGCATTTACTTGAACAAGCAAGGAGGAATAATCAGGGAGGGAGGGAAATGGGTCCTGATTCTAGGAGATGGTGGCTGAGGACATTTTACACTTCTTTTTAAGTTCCTTATAACATATCTGGGAAATGTGAAAGGGCAGGCAGTCTTTGAGATGCAAGATTCAGATACTATTGCACCACTTTTTGAAATAGCCCGCAAGTTCTGCCAACAGTTAAATATGAAGCTTGGTGTCACAATCGAGATAACCTTGGGTTCTTTCTGTATAGTTGAACATATGCATGGCTTAACAAATTTTAAGTGGTACTTTCTGAAAACGTTTTTTAGCTGTTTGAGTTCTGCTCGTGTTATTTTGAATACTGCCACACAATAACTAAAAATCTCTGTCATTTCTTAAAGAGTTTAAACAAACAATATTAAAATACCATCTTCCGTCACATTGAAAGGCAGTTGGATATGTTTTTCCTCCATATTTACATATACAGAGTTCTGATCTAGAAAACCAATACAATAAACCATTTTATGTTTTAAAAACAGGCAGTCTTTGGTGACGCAAAGGCAGAGGTTTTGTTTGTTACCTCCTGCCTATTTCGCTCTGTCTCATAAAGTGAATATTGTTGGCACTGTCAGAAAGTTCTAAATACTGCTCAACAGACAAAACAAAATACCCATCATAACCTTGTACCCTCCCAGTGCTCAAAAGCTGCTGCTTTTCCCCCTCTGTCCATGCCCGAATTCCCTCTTCCCCTTCCTGTAGCCTTCTCTGTTCCTTAGTCCAGGCCTGAGCCACAGCGCGCTGTCTGGCAATCTCCAACACGTGATTCTTTTCCTCTTCGACAGTTGTCCCATACCGGATGTTGAAGCACAGGGCCCCATGCTGGAGCTGAATATCTGCAAACCGTCTAGTCCTCCCATTCAACACTGAAGTCATCTGAGACACAGTGACATTGACACCATTCTCCAGAATCCTCCTCCCCCCAGTGTTACCAATGAGCACCAGGTCTTCCTCCAGAGACCCAAGCTTAATGAAGTAGTGAGTGTCCCTCCCCTCTATGGTAAAATGTAGGTTTTCCAGATAATGAGCATTATTTAGAATGGCAGCAAGCCGCCTGCTATCTTCATTGGCTACTCCTATAATATCAGCTGTTACTATGCCATCTTTGATGGCAAATTTTATACCTTTTCCAAAGACAGAAGGGACAGCAGCAAACCTGGATTGCTTCCCTCCTTCAAGGCACCGTCCCTCATTGTACCGGGGAGTCATAGGAAGTTGATCCAAGGAAATGAAATTCCTGAGCTGTTTCTGGAGCTCACACTGAATGCCCAGGATCGTCTGAGAAAGAAAAAGACAGTGCAAATGCAGCCAGGGTTAGATGCCTGCCTTATGCTTGGTGATTGACAAAAGGAAAGGCTGCAAGCTCACTTCCTTCTCTAATTTGTTGGTATGACAAACAAGCCAAGTCTGGAATCTCTTTAACAGAGTCTGGGAAAGGAAAAGATGGACTACCTAGCATTCTTATATCTTGGTCGAGTTTAAGAGTGTTAAGAAAATATGTTCAAACTTGGTATCATAGAATTTCAGAGCTAGAATGCACTTTTTAAGTGGGTCCAGCTCCCCCCAAATGCAAATATTTTACTTTCACCAATTTAATTGATACCGACTAGCTGTTATTACTGCATGCAGAATAATACATTAGACACTGGGAGGTATAAAGAAATGCATAAGGCTTAGTTCCTGCTTTCAACAGCTTATGACCTTATAAACAACTATGGCAAAACAGCAAGACATTCACAGCTCTTTTTATGTGTACTTTCAAAAAACCTTTTCATTTGGGCACTTTAAAAAATGCCAAGAAATAAAGAGAAAAGACTAATGAACCTGCCAGTATCAATTAGGAAGCATCAGCAATTTTCAACATTTTGCTAAAATTTGTTAAGAAGGATTTTTGAACAGTTTGGGATTTAGCTCAGTGGCATAGTGCTTGCCTAGCATGCACAAGGCCCTGGGTTCAATCCTCAGTACTGGGAGGAAAAAAAGAAGGGCTTTTAATTACAAAAAGTATTCACATACTTTATGTATTTACAAAAAGGGATAAGCCTTTAGTACCACCTTAAGCTTTCCTTTCCTTTATAATTTTTTGACTTAAATTTCAAGTCTTTCTACCTAAATTTCAGTTTTATTTTGTTAAAGATTTTTTTTTTTTTTTTGCATACACAGGCATTCCTAGTTTCTTCTTGGTTTTATTTGTACCTCATATTCCCAAAGAAATACCCTGCTGAATCTTGAATGTTTTTAGTATTCCTATTTTTTTTTCAGTCTTTATCCCTATAATATTTATTATTTTTGTTTATTGTGTTTATATACTTTTTATTTATCAGAATAATATTATTCTGTTATTCTTATGCTCTTAAGGCACTATCCTTTAAATTATTTCACAGTCAAGTCTGATGT